TACCAGACTATACCATAATATACCATACTATACCATACTATACCATGCTATACTATGCTATGCTGCGCTATGCTAATGCTAATGCTATTGCTGTGCTATGCCATGCTATACTATGCTGTTCTGTGCTGTACTATGCTATGCTATACTAAAACATAGTATAATATAATATTGCAAAACATAGAGCCCGCGTGTCCCCAAAACGAGTGACCAGCCGAAGCTATGTGTATGTGATATATACAGATATACATGCCTGCATGCATTGCATGCACAACAACGACGACAACGACAATTCTTCAATTGAAGGCTGCGCGAGCGGACTCCACGCATACCTCGCCAAGCACTCATGAGGTATGAAACCGACCCGAAGATCGAAACATGGCGAAGCTTCAACATTTACAGTGACGTGACGACTCTGAGTGACCGATCCACGTTGTGCTGCCTGGTACTTGTTAGAGCCGGCAACCACATGAGACTCCCTTCCCATCTCCTCCGAGCAGGATCGCCTGCTGCGGCTGCCCCGTATCCGTGTGGAGCGACGAGCACATGAGAGGGTTAGACGATGGACCACGGTTTGAGTCTGGAGCAGTCGGAGCTAGGTAGGCTGGCAGAGGTACCTGTCGAGGCCGAGTTAGCCGTGCGAGGCGCTGTTTGCGCGGCAATCAGAAGCCATCAGCTGGCGCACTGAATCTTTTTCCTCTGCGCTTCTTTGACAGAAGTGGTGCACTTGGCAAAATGAGATGAGAAACAGTCGGCTCTCCTGGCAGTCTCCTGCTTGCAACAGAGAGAGCAAAACGCCCCAGGCGAAGCCACCACAATGAAGGTGGTTGGGTGGCCAGGGGCCCCGACTTCTAGTGCTTCCATTTCCAAGAGCTGGAAGACGAAAAGTCGTGGTCCCCATACTTTTCCCGCCAGTTCTGACCGGACCATCCCGTTGACGTTTGTCTGCAGACGGCGCAGTGGCCTTTGACTGCCTTTTCTCACGCTCCTTGTCTCGCTCCCTTCAGTAGCGCTGCTTAGCGCATTTGGCGAACACGTGTGCCGTCCCGTCGAGGCATGTAGATGAGCAGTCTATTGGAAAGGCCACATGACTTGCACGTCTGATCGTAGATAGATTTGACGGTGGAGGCCACGATCTCAAAGTTGGCACGCTGGACGGCGTGTTGACGGTGGCCGTAGACTGTGCAGGTACTTCCTCTTGTGCAGAGTGCCCGTCTGCGTGCAGTGGTGGCCGTCGGATGCCGTCGGGGTGGTAGAGCCTCCGAACGCATATTCCGAGTTCTGGGGCGATTTTCACGTTTTCACATCTCCTCCCTATGACTCTATGACTTCCTGAGAAAAGAAAGCGCCCCCCGTGAAGGGTTGGAAGCTCCAAAAATCGCAACAACACGAAAGTGCTTCAGACCTCATTGTTTACGATGGATCCTTAAAGGCGCCAAAGCTTAGTAGCAACGGCTCCACACCACGACGCATCGATGTTTACGAAGGTTCGTCCACTTTTGCGTAGTCCCTCGTAGAACACGAGGTGCAAGCCAGTTTTTGGACCCCCAAGATGCCGACACCTCATTGCCACCGATGTTTTGAATCCGTTACCCCCGAGGCGCAGCCACCGGCCCCGGCTTCGAAACTGATTAGTTGCATCAAGCCCGAAGTAGGACGGTCTTAATTTATGTAAGTCTAAGTAGGACAGTATTAAGTTTGTATGAGGTAGGTAGATGCATCTATACCAGCAGACGAACACTCCAACGAAGAACCCGATGCCGAAGCTTCCGGGAATAATAAAACATATCATTTCAAAATATAGCATAACAAATACAACAGAATACAATTTGACATAATCTAATATGGTATAGCACAGTATAACATAGTTGTATTTTACATTCTACAACAACAAGATACTTAAATTTACATAAGTAAGTATGTACATACATACATACATACATACATACATACATACATACATACATACATACAACATACATACATACATACATACATACATACATACATACATACATACATACATACATACCTCTATATATATAT